CTTCTCCTGTAAAGTTACCATTTTGGAGATACGAGGTTTTGTTCCGACAGCAGCGAAATATTATAGTCATAAGCCACGGGGACGGGTGTGCTTCGGCACGATATGAAGCAAAGGGAGTAAAACTCCCTTCCCCTTGATAAAATCACAGTAACTCACTGCCTCAAGTGGCTTATTGCTTTTATAAAACAGCGGCCAACAAAAAAATGATAAAATACACAATGTTTTTAGATAATTAATTAATTTACTATTAATAATAACCAAAATAAACATGTATTCTGCCAAAAATGTAGTTCCTTTAGAGTACGACATCGTTGCTAAGCAACCACTGACCGTTGAATGAGGATAAGAATGTTCAGTTGCCAATCACTGTAAACTGCAGACATTTCATGATTTTTTTTTTATTTTCTTATAACAGTGAACATATGATATCACAGCTCTGTTTATGCAGAAACTTTCAGTTTACAGCACTTTTTGGTCACTAAATCACCACCGCGAGTCTCTGTCAGTCTGACGACGCCACTTTTCTCATGCTGGGGCTGAGTCTCAAACGGCTCCCTGCTCCCTACATAGTGCACTACATAGGAGTTTAAATACTGACTCCTGCAGCCCAACGGAGCAAAATATCACTAAAAATGGTCATTTGGGATTCAGACACATTCAGACTCGACAGGCAGTGCAGTATTTAACAGCAGAAGCTAGAATTTCTAAACTTAATGTCACACAGCTCACTATTTAACTAGGGAGTACGGAGCCGTTTGGGACTCAGCCTGGGTTTGACGCACCTTCTGACTAAAACACAGACATCTGAAGTGTGTGAGACATTCAGGTGACATTCTTTAGACTTTTATACTGCTGTTTTTAAGTGAATCATATTGTGAGTCCTTTAATTCAAGCCTGTGATATTAATGATGGAGTTATTTAGCATGTTTATCTTTTAGCCTGTTGGCTGGCTGACCAGCCTAGTTCTAGATAAGAAAATAAGTTGTCAGCCCCTCAGTTTAAACACAACTGGGTTCTTACTTCATCAGTGCACTCGGTGCTCCGTGCAATCAGAGTTAGAGTCAAAGACTAATCCATTAACAGCAGAAGGGTTTTTCATGCCGTGGTGCACTGATACAGAGTATATATATATATATGTGTATATATATATATATATATATATATATATATATATATATATATATATATACACATAAAATGTTATAATATGTGTATATGTGTGTAATAATCCCATATGTCCCATATGCATTATATATATCATCACTACCCAAAGAAAAACCTCCAAAATGGTATATAATGTAAATCATGGCTAGTGTGTTCAAATGATGTAGAAAAAAAATGGATGTACATGTTTTTCTTTGGACAATGACGATATGTAAGTACCTACATGTAATAATAATATGTCATACGTGTATTATTTGTGTGTAATTGTGTATAAGTAATGAAATTTCCCATTCCTAACCCTTATATAATCACTGGAATTTAAAAATAAATAGATTTTCAGTTTTAATAAGCTGAAATGTTTACAAACCCTGTGTTTCTCTGGTTTTACTGCAGTCAGAATGTTTTAGTCTCTCATATATACGAGGCTGACGTGCCGTTTGTTCGTCCATACAGAAACGCTGGGCTGTTTTAGGAGGCCGCTGTGGGTCAGTGGCTGTGAGCGATGTGGGGGGGGGAGTTATTTCCTGGAGAAACTCAATCCCTCACCTTCTCTCACAGCACACACAGTCTGCCAGGTGCAGCCAAGCAAGACCAACAGGAACCGGCTTTAAGCATCCTAAGTGGGCAATTACAACCATCTCCCATTAAATAGGATTAAAGACGGCAACAAACAGAAACTGGAACCTCCACGAATTCACAGCAGCGCACTTTCACACTCATCTATCTATCTATCTGTCTGTCTGTCTGTCTGTCTGTTTATTTGTCTATCTATCTGTCTGTCTGTCTGTCTATTTGTCTATCTATCTATCTATCTGTCTGTCTGTCTGTCTGTCTGTCTATCTCTCTCTCTTTGTTTGTCTGTCTGTCTATCTATCTGTCTGGCTGTCTATCTCTCTTAGTATGTCTGTCTGTGTGCCTATTTGTCTATCTATCTATCTATCTATCTATCTATCTATCTATCTGTCTGTCTGTCTGTCTATCTGCCTGCCTGTTTGTCTGTCTATCTATGTGTCTGTCTGTCTGTCCGTCTATCGCTCTGTTGTTATATCGTTCTTTCTTCCTTTCTGTCGGATCTTTCATTTTGTCCTTTATTGACACTGAAGCTATCAGTGATGATGATGTTCAGCAGACAGTATTAAACGCATCAGGACACACAGTTCAGAGCGACCAGGCCTGTTTCAGTGTTTAACTCACGCAGATCACTGATTTCACTAAATAATCCTTCACTAATCTGCAGCAGTTTATTTAATACATATGCAAAAAGCTTTTAAGAACAATTTTACTGCTCACGTTTACTAAGTTTCACTGTGGAAATAAAGATTTCACCTTTTTATGAACACAAGAATACCTTAAAATCATGTTAGCTGCTAGAATTACTGTACCAATCAAACACTGTGTACTGTATGTTGCTGCTCTGGTTGCTACCTCAGTGACTGCTATGCTCATATATGCTAGGCTATCTGCTAATCTGCTAATATGTCATAGTGTGTTCCATCATTCTTTGCACAGCTCCACATACTCTCAGTACCGTGAACTGTCTGTCTGCCTGTGCTCTGTTTTGTATTTATTGTAGGTCTTTCATGTTTATTTACTGTACTGTATTGTCTGCACTGTGTTTATTGTACTGTCCTGCACTTGTGTTCCTGTGTTGGTCCTGGAGGAATGTTGTTTTGTTTCATTGTGCATTTATATACATCTGAAATGACAATAAAGCCTCTTGACTTCTTGAACTAGTATCAGTGCTGGTGTTAGACCAGCCGTGGTGGTCGTCTGTGAGGGTCAGTGAGATCCCTCAGCTCTGAGGGTCAAACTCCCTCTGAGCTCTGTAAGATTTACAGCCTCTAAACTGCACATTATCGACTCTCTGACTGCTGAAGTCCACTGACCATTCTCTCTGCGCCCTGAAGGGGGCGGTGTTGTCATTCAAACAGAGTGGATAACAGAGCGCGCGCACACACACACACACACACATTATGATTAATGATAAAAGGGGGACAGTTGGGAACTGAAATGCCAAACAATTCATTAAAATTATCATCAAAACAATCAATAAACTCAAAATAAATAGTAAAAATAAATTCCATCTCTTTGATTCTGTTAAATGCCATCTTTAGAAAAAAAAAACTAAAAAGAAAGGGAGAAAGTAAAAGAGAGAGAGAGAGACAGAGAGAGGGGGAGGTGGTCATTAAGATTGAAAGAAAGTTATTTGCCCTCAAACTATAGATAGACAGATAGACAGATAGATAGATAGATAGATAGACAGACAGACAGACAGTCAGACAGACAGATAGATAGATGGATAGACAGACAGATAGATAGATAGACTGACAGACTGACAGGCAGACAGATAGACAGACAGACAGACAAATAGATAGATAGATAGACAGACAGACAGACAGTCAGACAGACAGATAGATAGATAGACAGACAGACAGACAGTCAGACAGACAGATAGACAGACAGACAAATAGATAGATAGATGGATAGATAGATAGATAGATAGATAGATAGACAGACAGACAGACAGTCAGACAGACAGATAGACAGACAGACAGACAGACAGACAGAGATGGATTGTTGATGATCATTCCTTTTGTGTTTTATTGAAGTATGTTTTATCTGCGCTGTATAATATAAATATAAGCTGCTGTGTAAATTAAGCATCTCGTTCCTTTTTAACTTTAAAATGTTCAGTCATTCTGGTTGCTTCTCTCAACAGCAGCCCAGCTATGCCTTAAAATGCAGGTGCTGAGCCATCTGCATTCCGGGCCCAGTAAATCATAAATCATCCTGTCGTCAATTATTTATTTTGATATTTTGATCTTAAAGGAAAAGCAGAAAGCAGAAACCCTTTTTCACTGACAAAGAAACACATTCTTAAAACTAAAGGCCTAGGATTGTTTATCTCACTGAAATTCTTGTTTTCTCACTTTGAAGATGAACAATACCACTGACGTGGTGGTGGTGTGTTAGTGTGTGTTGCGCTGGTGTGAGCGGATCAGACACAGCAGTGCTGCTGGAGTTTTTAAACACTGTGTCCACTCACTGTCCACTCTGTTAGACACTCCTACCTCGTCAGTCCACCTCGTAGATGTAAAGTCAGAGACGATAGCTCATCTGCTGCTGCACAGTTTGTGTTGGTCATCCTCTAGTGCTTCATCAGTGGTCACAGGACGCTGCCCACAGGACACTGTTGGCTGGATATTTTTGGTTGGTGGACTATTCTCAGTCCAGCAGTGACACTGAGGTGTTTAAAAACTCCAGCAGCACTGCTGTGTCTGATCCACTCAGACCAGCGCAACACACACTAACACACCACCACCACGTCAGTGTTACTGCAGTGCTGAGAATGATCCACCACCCAAATAGTACCTGCTCTGTGAGGGTCCATGGGGATCCTGACCTCTGAAGAACATGGTAACAAAGTATGCAGAGAAGATATATGGTAAAATGGACAATAAGCGTAGATAGAAGGAGGCAGACTTAATATTATGGCTAATAAGTGTCATAAATGTTTCAACCCAGGCTGCTTTTTGACGAGCCAATCACAAGATGGCTAATTTACATACATCAGTCTTAAAGGAACTGGCTGTTTTTGGCACATAAAAGCACACAAATATTCCAAATGGAATATTTGAAATATTGTTTAAAGAGTTAAACTCGGCCGTTTCTCCGGGCTTTTCTCGTCCTCATCACTTCCTAGGAAATCATGGGTCGCGTCTCGAATTGCTTCTTGATCCCTACACCGCACAGCGCACTACGTAGGGGGTGAAGCGAGGGCTCCCGCACCCACACAGCTAGCGCACTACCTCTCCAGCAGGGAGGCGATTGGGACGCGGCCCCGGAAGGTTTCTGTAGTGGGTTTGTTGCGAACGCTTGTCGTTTCAACATCATTCAATCTTCATGAAGGAGCCAGCCCGCTCAGCCGCAGCGGACAGAACGGAGCTCGACATTTCATTTCTTTAAATCTTCAGGAGGCCACGATGTCCCTTCGTGTCCGCCGCTGAAGGAATGTGAGGAGAAACATTAATGTTTTGGCGGAAAGGCGAGCTGGCTAACTTAGCATTAGCCAGTTAGCACTAGCTAGCTGCTAACAGCGTAAGGATGCTACGGTGGATCCGGCAACAGCTGGTGAGTTTCAGAAAAGCAGAATTTGTGGCTTTTTGCGAGAAATAACACCAGAATTGAGCTTCCAGAAGCGCCGGGAGTTGCTGACAGAGTTTATGTTTACGGCTAACGTCGCCGCAGCAGCCATAGTGATAATAAAAAGTAGCGTTAACGTTAATTATGCGTTTAATTTGATTCATGGAGCGATTTTCATAAAGCAGAGACGCTTTACAGCGATAAACATCAACATAGCACGGACAGAGATCGTGGTCAGACTGAAAAACAGACCAAAAACGGGATGTTACGAAGCTTTTAAACAAGTTTGTTTACAAATTAAGTGTACTTAACGTTGACGTTGCGCTAACCTAACCAGCTAACTTAGTGGGGTTGGCTTAAAGGGGAACTCCACCGGTTTTTTAAATATGTATGAATAGTTCAACGGTTGCGATGTAAACAAAGTCTTTTAGAGGGGTTTGGTGTGGAATGGAAGGAAAGAAAGTGAGGGGTGTTTATGGTAGATAGATAGATATATAGATAGATGGATAGATAGATAGATAAGAATAAAAAGTTTTTAAGTTAAGAGAGAGAAATGCAGAAAGAGAGATGTAGAAAGAAAGGAAATAAAAAAAGAGAGACATTCTTAAGAGTAAAAGATGCATTAATTATTAATAATGCATTTAATTCATAGAGCACTTCTCATAATGCAGAGACACTGAACAGGGAGAAACATTAAAATAATACAGACAGATTGCGATCAGACAAAAACAGGATGTTTATTTTCAAATTAAGCGTACATAACATTGACATTGCTCTAACGAACTACCTTAGCTTAAAGGGGAATTCCACCAATTTTTCACAATTGTCTGTATAATTGAGTGTGTGAGAAGTAAACAGAGTGATTCAGAGTGGTTTGGTGTGAAATGGTTCCGATGTCTTTACAGTGGTGGTGATGGGAACCAGGGGTCGCCATGACTACAACACAAATATAGACATTTTATTTACTATCCAGAACCAGCAGTGAACCTACACGAGTCTTCTGAGCTTATATGGAATGTTGATGATGGGAAATAGTGGAAAATCTGAAATAATGAGGCTATTTTGCCTCACAGCGCCCTGCAAAATCTTCTCAAAACATAGATAACACAGTGTCTCAGACATCAGGCAGTGAATTCATAACCGTTTCATGTAGTAACTTTCTGTGAGTCTGGTTCCTGTCACCAGCACTGTAAACAATTCTGACTTGGTAAGTTTCTCTAGGGTGGAGCGTTTCACACCAAACCACTCTGAACCACCCTGTTTACATCTCAACCATTTAATTATGCACAAATTTTGAAAAATCGGTGGAATTCCCCTTTAAGTAACTTAGGGTAAATATGTGAAGTTGGTGCTTCAGATGCAGCCAGTTAAAATAAAGGAAGCAGATTCTAAAGAAGGTGTTTTATCTTTTATACATGAATAATGTTGGACTAATTTGAGAAAAAAATCTAGTTATTAGCTAATTATGTGATCTCTTCAGCCAACATGCACACTTAAAAAAAACGATGGCTCTTTAAGGGTTCTTTAGTAAAGGCAGTGGTTCTATGTAGAACCATTTGCATGGTTAAATGGTTGTTTGCATGTTGAAGTGGTTCTTCAGATTGATGCAGAATGTGGTGTGTATTTTTGTAAGTGGTTCCGCGTAGTCACGATGTCAAGCTTGTAACAATAGCAGAACTATTTTGGGTGCTATATAGAGCCATTTTCAAAAAGGTTCTATGAAGAAACATGTACAACACATTCTCCATCAAGCTGAAGAATGATTTTAACATGCAAAGCATGAAATGGTTCTACATACAATTCATAGCTCCAAATAGATCCATTGCCTTTACTAAAGAACCCTTGAAGAACCATCTTTTTTAAGCGTGTGCTTGTGTTTCAGTTAAGCTACTGGCTGTTATATTCAGTGTATGACATTATCTCTTAAATTAAGTGAATATAAAACGTCGCTTAAGTATGTTTTGTGATTGGACTGAACTCGTTATAATGTAAAAATATAAACAGCCCTTTTTGCGGATTTCTGCAGTTATCTGATTATTCAAATGGACAGCACACTCTGACTTCTTAGATCGGAGTAAGGTCTAGAAATCTGATTAAGAAATCCGATAAAGAGGCTGGATTTTAGCTCAGTAATCAGATTTCTCAGTGCATGTGAACTCTTACTCTGATTTCTTTCGTTTTTCTCAGTCTGCGCATGTGCAAAAACAGACTGCGGTACCGGAAATAAGCAAGCAGCGTTGCTGCGAGACGCCTTTATTTTGTCAAGCAGACTACATGCTTGACGAAGTAAAAGATTTAAGTATCATCTTCTAGATGATGCATGTTCATATTTTCAGGTAAAGCGGCGCAACGTTTAAAAAACATTTTATTACGTCACGTCTACACCACGTCGTCCTCTGTGAGTTTACTGGCTGGTTGTAAAGCAGAAATCTGATTACTGTCTGACTCATGTCGACCTGGAGTTTCTCCGTTATCTGATTACTCAAGCGCATGTAAACACGTTGATCAGATTACTGACAAAATATGATTTTCTGCAGTTATCGGATTATTATCAGCGTTTAAAATCTGCATGCAGGTTGGCTTTAGAGGGGAAAAAGCTCCTCACTCACAGTTCAGTAGTTTTATTAGGCATTACAGCACCTGTGTTTAGGCTAAGCTAATTCAGACAGGTGAAGATCTATGATATCAGATTGTCTCTCAGATTAAGTAAATATGTCATCGCTGTCCAAACCAAAATATGCATACATGCTTTTCTTTGGACAGTGATGATATAAAGGCAGCTTAGTAATTTGTACTTTTTGATGTAGAGGCTGCAGGAAACATTAGCCTTGTTGGTTTTGTTTGTATTTATCTATTGGGAATTATCTATTATTGTATTACCTATAAGGGACCAAACTGTAAGTTCACATGTGTAATCTATACTAAGGGCGTTGTTGGCAGTTATGACCGTGTAAGAGTCCGTTATTATATGACGGATAATACGCATCACTTCACACTCTGCTGTATGACACATAAGTCAGAGCTGATCGTCGTCTGAGCTTCTGTTCCTGTTCACAGCTGTGCTGTTCAGATAGCAGTGCTTTGCCTTTTTGTGCATTATTGTTGAATATTTTTCACATTGTGCTTTTTATACAGCTTAGTCTTGTGAGCATCATTAGGTCAGGCATAACATTATAACCACCTCCTTGTTTCTACGCTCATTGTCCATTTTATCAGCTCCACTTACTATATAGGTGCACTTTGTAGTTCTACAGTTACAGACTGTAGTCCATCTGTTTCTCTGATACTTTGTTAGCCCCCTTTTACCCTGTTCTTCAGTGGTCAGGACCCCCATGGACCCTCACAGAGCAGGTACTATTTGGGTGGTGGATCATTCTCAGCACTGCAGTAACACTGACGTGGTGGTGGTGTGTTTGTGTGTGTTGCGCTGGTCTGAGTGGATCAGACACAGCAGTGCTGCTGGAGTTTTTAAACACCTCAGTGTCACTGCTGGACTGAGAATAGTCCACCAACCAAAAATATCCAGCCAACAGCGTCCTGTGGGCAGCGTCCTGTGGGCACTGATGAAGGACTAGAGGATGACCAACACAAACTGTGCAGCAGCAGATGAGCTATCGTCTCTGACTTTACATCTACAAGGTGGACTGACAAGGTAGGAGTGTCTAATAGAGTGGACAGTGAGTGGACACAGTGTTTAAAACTCCAGCAGTACTGTTGTGTCTGATCCGCTCGCACCAGCACAACACACACTAACACACCACCATCATGTCAGTGTTACTGCAGTGCTGAGAATGACCCACCACCCAAATAGTACCTGCTCTGTGAGGGTCCATGGGGGTCCTGACCACTGAAGAACAGGGTAAAAGGGGGCTAACAAAGTATCAGAGAAACAGATGGACTACAGTCTGTAACTGTAGAACTACAAAGTGCACCTATATAGTAAGTGGAGCTGATAAAATGGACAATGAGCGCAGAAACAAGGAGGTGGTCATAATGTTATTCCTGATCGGTGTATATATATGAAGTATATAAACATTTTTGGTTTTTTTTTCTTCTTCATCTTATTTATAAAGTTTATCCTGCCTCTGCTGTGTTTCTCCATCACCGTGTCCGAGGTTGCAGTGTAAGCCTGTTAGTCATGCCAGGTTGCGGCACTTCTAGTTTTAGGTGTGGCAGCTAAGAGGAAACGAGACTACATAATGTGAGGAACTCCACCTGAGGCCGTGTCACGACCCAGGATCTCTTAATTAGCACACTATAAGCTTAGTTCAGTCTAGGGATGAAGTTGTTGGATATCACCGTGGTGATATGATAAGTCAGCTTGGACAATAACTAAAAATAAGCAGCATGATATTTAAAAAAAATATATAGGAAAAACAGAGCTGAACAATTTGGGGAAGTAATTGCAATATTTCTGATCAATATTGTTGCAGTTTAAATGTGTGTCTGAAGAATACCTGCACATCCATTTTTCCAGGCTTGAATGCTGAATGAGTGTTTAAGACATTGTTTAATAATATGTAGGGAGTAGTTAAAGTTGCAGCTCTTGCAGTTTTGAAAATTGCACTGTTTTAAATAGCAATTTAACAATAATTAAGTGTTCCTTAATCACGATTCTTAATTATATTGCCCCTCTTTTTTTAGTTTATATGATTTTCTTTAACCTTTTTAACTCATTGGAACCACCGGTGGTTCCAAAACGCACTTCGTCATATTCTTAACTTTATAACTTTCATATTTCATAAGCTTCATTCTAAAGGTGGGGGTCGTATGAGAGCTGTAACTGTCTTCTTTCCAGTCAAGTAGATGGGTGATGTAGTTTTAAAACTTTATAATAAAAGAAGCTGAACTCACAGTTTTTTTCACTGAAAGTCGACTCATTTTTCCACAAATCTGAGCTACAAACTGGATCTCAGATGGCGTCTCTTCAGTGATCTGCTCTGTAAAAATTATTTTTATAAAATAATACAACGAGCGCCTAAAATTTT